AGAGTGTCCTTTAGAAAAGGGGCAAGCATCTCTTCTTTTCCCCTCCAATAACAAAAAAGCACAGCTCTTTCTTTTCCATTGTTTTCAAGGCCTGATGTATCTTTGCCTCTGAAGAGTTTTGTTTCATCATTTACTTCCACCTATTCAGGTTAAATTTGCTTTAATCTCTTTGAAAGCAATAGAAGATGGTGGCTATTTTCTAAGAGGATGATTCTACACTTGAGTTTACAAGGATGTAATCCACTCTCTTCTGCCAACAGTTATAGAAAAAATAAGAGTGATAGTCAACTACTAATGTTCAAATAATTATTTTCATAAGCTCCACATTATACCAGATGTGCTCAGTAAAGGAGGCAGCAGACAGAGACTCAGATCTGTGTTCTACATGCACAAAATTACCTGTATGCACTTGGAGTTTTCAGAGGACAGGAGAGAGGTGTTTCCATAAAGCCAAATACAGAAGACACAGGAGGCAGTGGAAAAAAAATGAGTGTTCAGAAGAGTGAGGGAGAAGCAAGAGACAGAAGGAAACTGGGGTGTACCTTCCAACCGCTTTGCACTGCTTTTATTAAACAAAGGAGCTGTAAATTTAGCTTAACCAGCCAGTATGCTCTGGCTGCTTTGCTCTACTCCAGAGTAGCATAAACCAGCCACAGCATATCAATGAACCTGGCCATAAAAGCTTACATAAAGTGAAACGTGTGTGTGTTTCTTGGAATGATTAGAAATAGCTCATGATAATACTGAGTTCAATTTTTAGCAGTCACATGTATGATTTTAATTTAAGGAGGTGAGCAAATTCAGAAGACATAGGTGACATTAAGGCAGAGTTAAGGATGAACTATATCCATGATTTAATTTAAAATACAGCATAAAATTTATAATTACCCCAAAATAATAATTTTAAACAAAGGGAATTCAAAATTAAAATCATACTTGAAACCACATATGTTCAAGTGTAAAAATGAAAGAAAATGAAGGTGTGCAGAAAATCTTCACTCTGTCTTACAGTTCCCAGTGCTTCTTTTGGGAGAAAACAAATATGTTTAAAAATCTCTGTATTCTAATCCCTGATCAAAAATATTAAGAAATATTCATTATAGTCTTGTGGCAAAGTTAAGGTTATT